GAATAATAGTTTTTAATAGAAGGAACCAACTTAAAGGGGACACCCTGCTGGATGGAGCAGCGGACCTGTCGGTTATTCTCAGAATCTCTGTCCTGCACGTTAATTATGCCCACCTCTGTACCAGGTGACAAGTGTTCAGGTATGGGGTTCGACAGTGACTTTAGATATATTACAGGTGGGTTGTCATTCACATCAGTAACATCTATTATGACTTTAGCATAGGAAGTTAATCCTAAACCATCTTTCGCAGTTATGCGAAGCTCAAACAATCTCACTGTTTCATAATCAACTGTGGCGGACAATTTTATATCCCCTGTTTTATAATCTATGGCAAATATTGACTTAACGTCTTCTGGAACGTGTCCAAAATCATATGTAACTTCTCCATTTAGTCCCTCATCTGCATCAATTGCTTTTACTGTCAGCACAACAGTACCCATGGGAGAGTTTTCTGACAGACTGGCTTTATAAACGGCTTGGCTAAACACTGGCACGTTATCATTAGCGTCCAAAACAGTAATGTGAATGACCACGGTACCTGATCTTTGAGGGGAACCACCATCTAAAGCGGTCAGAAGTAGACTGATTTCTTGTAATGTTTCACGATCGAGCTCTTTGTTAAGGACAAGTTCCACAGAATTGGTTCCAACTCCAAGGAAAAAATATTCATTCGTCTGTAGGTTGTATGATTGAACTGAATTTTTACCTATGTCGGCATCGTGCGCTTCTTCTATTGGAAAACGAGCACCTTTTGACGCAGATTCTCTAATATCTATATGGATCAAATTCTTATTAAACTGTGGGGAGTTGTCATTTATATCCTGGACATGTAGGCTGATTCGCTGCAGTTCTAATGGATTCTCCAACATGAGTTCTTGTTTTAAAACGCAGGATGCTTTGTCTCCACACAGGCCCTCTCTGTCAATCCTTTCGGCAACAATCAGATCTCCGTTACGGAGGTTTATTTCACAGAATCGTTTGTCGCTTCCTTCTGTATCAATACGAGCCTTTCGAAGAGATAGTGTATTTACGTCGATGCCGAGGTCTTTGGCGATATTTCCGATCACAGTCCCGTGTCGCATTTCCTCTGTAAAAGAGTAGCTTATATCCCCGCTGACAAAATACAAACAAAAGAAGAGTAAAGCAACGACAAGGGTGTGTATTCCAAATGTCGCGTTAACCATCATGACATGCAAATATTTCCTTTGTAATGCGCAGGAATACAGCAAACACACAAATATTATTTAAGCCAAAATCAGCACAATCTAAAACCACGTCTGCGCGTCCTTCGATGACCAACTGCGGCACATTAAAACACATTCTATCTCGACAAATAGGTGTGGATTTTAAGATAGGCAAGGTGGACAGCGACATCGTGAGTCTAATTTAAAAATTGCATTGAGCAGCAGCCCTGTACAAGGCACATGGAAGCGTTTATGGACGAAAGTTGAACCTTAATTTAAAAGTAAAAGTGTATATTGAAGTGTGCAGACAGATAAAAAATAAAAAATAAAAATTGCATTAATCCGAAAGGTCGCTGTATACTGAGCAATGCTGCCAATGGAAACTCATATCTGCGAAAGTTTAGATCATTATTGTATACAAAATGTGGTACAAATTAAAGTTTAAATATCTGTGTTCACTGAAAATGTGTGGCCACGATTTACATGATAACTTTTGAAAAACAATTAAATGTTTGTAGACGGTGGAAAAGCGTTAAAAATGCTTCAAACTACTGAAATAGTTTTATTTTTATTTGTTTTTTAAGCTACTAAAAATGCTTGAGTAATTTTCGAAATATTTAAATTAAACATTAATCTCAATTGACATTTCTGTATCAGAACAGAGACTCGAGAAGGAAAAGCAAGAAGATTTTAATGGCCACAACGTTTTATAATAT